AATTGATACATATACTGATTTATACTGCTTTTTATAAAAATCGTATCGTATTGTGATATATCGCAATATTAACTACACTATTAGTAATATAAGCCATGTGGGATCAATGATCTATCAGTTTAGTAATATAAGCCATGTGTTAAATCTAGCCATGAAAAAATTCGGGATTTGCCGGTACTGTTTCTAGAATTAAAAACATTTGTAAATCTTTAAAAGTAACATTTACTTATTATGAGGTCTTGAATTCGGAACACACGACACATGCAAGTTATTTAATTATTGAAATTAATTATAATGATATGAGAATAATTAGATATACTTTTTTTATTTATAATTAATGAATTCATTATAACTTTAATCATTCTAATTATATCTTTATTCCATCCAAAAAAAAAAGTTTGCCGCCATCCAGCGATGAAAATTGAAAAGACGATTGAGATTGCATGATGGATTCGGACCCCATGCATGAATCAAATACTAATTTCCTTACAATTATAAAAGTTGTTGGTAAGTAATAATTATTTAAGAGAGAAGCACCAAAATTAAGTGAGAGTGGGGGCAAATTTAAGGTCAAACAGGGTATTGATTGCTTCGCAAAAAAATTTTAAGACCCTATAAAGAGTTTTATATTTCTCGGGTCTCTCCGCGTGCAGGGGCGGAACCAGGATTAGAAAGTAGGGAGGCTAATTAAAATTTCAGGGTTTGGGGCAGTGCCCTGAAAAAAATTTTAGGTTCACAAGACACTGCAAAAATATGTTTATATTGCAAATTTTTAATTAAATAACACACACACACACAGACACACACACACACACACACACATATATATATATATATATATATATATATATATATATATATATATATATAATCTAAATTATTCTAATAGTATATTGCACTTAATGGTATTTATGGCACCGTCTCATATTATTTTTTAGAGACTTTGATATAAAAAAAATCAAAGATCGGATAAGTAAATATTCATAAATTTTATTTAAAATAGTATAAGTTTTAATCATTTTATTTTATATTTTTATATTAAATATGATATACATCTATAATTTATATAAAATTATGGAGAATAAAAAAAAATTAAGGATTAATACACATATTTACAAAATCTTTGGGGAGTCAAAAGTAATATTCAAAAAATATAATGTCAAAATAGTTAAAAAAAAAAATTCTTCAGGGGTCAACTGCCCCCATCCCCTTAGAAGTGCCGCCACTGTCCGCGTGGATAATTGCTGCCAAATTCAACAATCTCCTTAGCAATTACTTTAGTGGAGA